AGGGTCTGCCCCCTCGCAGCGGCTGTGCCAGGGGGCTGCAGGCGAGCCCCGGGGCGAGCCAGGCTCCAGAGGTGCCCATGTGCATCATCGGGGGCAATGCTGCAAAAACCACCTTGCCAAAACCCGGCACAGATCAGGAGAGGGAAGCGTTACTGAAAACCAGGCTGTGTCCAAGGCCGGCTCCCGAAACCCGGTAGCCAGCTGGAGAGCAAGGACAGCCAGACGGGAAAAGATCCGGCTTGGCTGAGGGCTGGCACAGAAGCGAGGATAAAAACCCTATAAATGCATAGCGAAGGGGCAGGGAGAGGAGGCTTCAGCGCCGGGGCTGTGTGCTGAGGTGTAAAGCGTGGGTGGCGGATAAGGGAAATGAGTCAAAGAACAATCTTTGGCTAGAGAAGCTAATCGGATAACGCGTCGTTTTTAACCTGGCGGGAACAACTCCCCGTCCCCACCTCTGACATCGCTGGATTTTCTCAGGACGAGAGGCGTTTCTGGCAGGACCCTCGCAGGAAGGGGCTTGTAGGCTGCCGAGGAGCTCTGCTGTTAATTTTTAACACTAAAAACCCTGGGGAAATTCCATAGGGCTGGAGGGCGGCCAGTGGGAGTCTAATATTTAAAAGGGATGAAAGGGCTGACCCTGGGAATTACAGACCAGGTAGGCTGATCGCAGTCCCTGGGCAAATTATGGGCTGGGTAATTGGGGATACTGTCAGCCAAAAATTAGAAGCTAAAAATATAATTAAGGTCGTTAGCTTGGTTTCATGGATGGCAGCTCCTGTCAAGTGAGTCGGCTTTGGTTTTTGGCATGACTCTGGGCTGGCTGATAAAGCTAATTGTGTTGCTGCATTATAATGGGTTTCTCCAAAGTACTTAATTTACGGCCATGTGACATTTTCATTTGTAAAACTTGCATTATATGGAGTCAGCAGAGCAGACATCCGACGGCTGCAGCTGGCAGCTCAGGGGCGGTGGCCAAGGGGGCTAGCAACGGAGGAAGCTGGAGGGACCCGATTTTGCATGGGACAATATTTTTTCCAGGGACGCTGAGGCTCGCGGTGAGAGGGGAGTCGGCAGGACAGGCAGCCGTTCCCCTCGCAGGGGGATCTGCGCTGCCCGGCCGAACGGGCAGGGCCCAGCCAAAAGGTGGGGGGGAGTGTGGGGGAACAAAAGAGCCGGATTTTCCCTGCTAAAGCACGGCGAGGTCCAGTGGCAGGAAGCAGCCGGGGGACCCGGTCGCCGATAACCCGACTGGGAGCGTAATTAACCGTTGGCCCAATTTTAGGAGAAGGGTGTGAACTCGCAGGCGTTTGGTATCTCCGGACAGGAGGAAATCTCTGCTTGGTGGGACATGATTTAATGCGGCTTCTGGGACAAGCTCAAGCCTCTGCGTGTGTGCGTGCGTGCGCGTGCATCCAGCAAAGCAGAGCTGGGCTGGACCATCCTCGTGGTCTTTTCCAGCCCCGTGGAAGCTGCATCCTCCTCTCTGGGCTGCATCAGCCGCGGTCGAGCACTGTGGATTTCCTCCGGTGGATAATTTGGGTTGTTTTCTTTTTCCCAATGGGAAAATTGGGCACAGGTAGGGCAGGGCACAGAGACAGTACCTGGGGCAGCCCGGGGGACTTTCCCTCCCTCAGTGAGGGTGTTTTTCATTCCCATACAGATTTCTAACCTGGGGGTTTCACCCCTACTAGACGCAGGGTGGCTCGAGGGGCATCCAAGCCTCCCCCCGGCCAGTGGCTCCCCAGCCAGATTT